ACAGGTAAATCATGAGACGACAGCAGACGAAGGCGTGGTGGAAAATCAACCGGACGACGTATACGAGGGGCAGGAGGCAATCTAAACAGATGCTCCGTGAATGAAAGGTTGTAACGGCGCATCGCTCCGGAAAGGTGCTGCGAATGTCATGCGCAAATTGGACTCGCGTTCCTATGTTCGTGTTATCATGTTAACCAGACATGCGTCCTTCAGGAGACAACTTGTCCGCTCATCGTGTTCTCAACATCTGGTGCCGTAATCAACCAAGTGGTAAATGAAGACTCCGGGGCCGGAACCCTTTGAGGATGCCGATGTACGGGGTTTTTGGAGCACTTCGAGGATGTTGCAGAGGCAGTCGGGATGATGCAGGACCGGCCGAAGTTGGATGCCCTGCGGAGCCTCCTCAAGGGCAGGGTGAAGGCTATTCTGGATGCGGCGCGAAGGGACCCTGTCAAGTTGGAGTGGGCCGCCGCAAAGGAGCAGGAGCGGACCCGTTCGTATTCGCGGTCCAAATCAGTGAATTGCTGGCCGGACGTTGCCTAGCGGATAACGAGTCAAGACAACAACTGTTGGTGGAACAGTTTTTGGATGGTCTCCCTCCGGCAGTAACCGATCATCTCCGGATTGTAAACGCCACTAAGAGAACTGGCGTGATGGAGCTCGCCCAAGTAGCGAGGGAGCTTACACATGAAGCAGTTGCTGCATTGACAACGGAAGACAAAACAAAGGAAGCGACCGAACGAGTTAGAAGACAGACTGGAACAGATTACGCAAGACATCGAGGCACTTCGAGTTCCCTCACAGAAGATACGGCTGAAGGGATGCTGCTTCATTTGTGAGAAACTGGGACAATGAAAGCGCCAATATCCGTCAAATCGCAGTACAGCCTTTGTATGAAATAAATGCTACCAATCGTACTGTTCTCATGTGGCGAGTGCATCCTTGAGGCGTTGAATAAAGGTGCGATTGAGGCGATAGTAGAGGTGAATGGGAAAGTGGAGAGGTATCTGGTTGATACAGGAGCTGCAATTTCCTTAAACAGTCACAGAGATGGGGAGAAAACTCAATCGTGTTCCATGGTTGTGAAGGCGGTCGATGGTTACCATATACGCATAGATGGCATGGTGGAACATATGATTGGTGTTAGGGGTCGGACATTAAGACATTTTCATCCCGTCGCCGGACACAAAGCAGACTATCCTGGGTGCTGACTTTCCCAAAATCAGTGAAGCAATCGTCGACCTGAACCAGGAAAGCTGGTTACGAAATACGGAGCTATACAGCTTGTTGGCAGAGAAGAACCCATGAGGGTGTGCTCGGTCGTGGCCGTTTTACACACAAGTCCAGCCCTTCAATTGCTTGTAAGCAAGTACGATATCCTATTCACGGACGATAGTAGTCCTTATGGGTTTGGTGACTGGGTCGAACACACAATTCCACTATCCCATCAGCCGTATCGGCCGCACGGATCCAGATGACTACCAATACACCTGGAAGCTGAGTCAGAAGGCAGGTGCAGCAGCTGCTGAATGCAGGCGTAATAGAGGAGGCTCACAGCCCATATAACTCGTCAATCGTTTTGGCGAAGAAAGCCAACGGGAAGTACCGGTTTGCGTGGACTTCAGAAGGCTGGACGAAATATCGCTGAGTCGATTCGTCCCGGTGCCTTCAGTCCCAGACATTTTTGATAAACTGCGGAAGTCAAGGATATTTACAGCACCGCATCTAACGTCTGGCTACTGGCAGCTGCCGATTAAACAAGAAAACCGAGAAGACAGCGTTTACAGTCGGGGACAAATAGTACCAGTTTAAAAGCATGACGTTTGGATTATCTGGTGCTCCTTTTACCATCCGGCGTTTGTTGTTGCGACTACTGGATGGATTAGAGAATGTGACTGTATACGGCGACGACATCGTTGTGTACAGTGAATCGGAGACAGAACACTACCGTCATCTAGAAGCAACATTGCAAAAAAATTCAGTAGCCTGGATTACGGATAAATGGGCTGAAATCTCGAATCGGGAAGACGTCTGTGACGCTGCTTGGTCACAAGATGGGTCAGGGTGAACCTAAGCCGCTGCCGGAGAAAGTATTGGCAATTCGAGGCACCCCAGTTCCGACGTCAAAGCGCAGTCTCCGGGCATTTTCGGGTCGCGCTGAATAGTACAATAAATTTGTCAGGAATTTTAACAGCTTGGCGTCACCTTTGCATGAACTGTTAGGCGAAGGAAAGAAGTTCACTTGGATACCGGAGGCTCAGCGAGCGTTCGATGACATTCAGAAGGAGATGGGCGGACAGTAACTGACTTAAAAATTGCCGATCTCAGGGGAAACGTCCACTGTGGCCACAGACGCAAGCGACGTCGGAATCGGTGCGGTGCTGAAGCAGAAGAAAGACACGGTGGAATACGCTAGTAGAATTTTGACCCCATCAGAACGCAAGTATTCGACAGTGGAGAAGGAGTGTCTTGCAATTGTGTGGCCTCTAGACAAGTGGCGACCGTATTATTGGGTGATCGGTTTCACATCGAAACCGATCACAAATTATTGAAATGGATTAGGTTTTCCAGAGACCCCAGAGGCAAGTTGGCGCGATGGGCGCTGCGCCTACAAGAATACGACTTTACGATAAACCACATACCGGGAAAAAGCAACGAGACGGCAGATTTTCTATCACGCATGACGAACGATGAAGACTGGCCGAGTGTTGCCTTCGGTGTCGGTGATCTTGTGCTGGAGCAGGACCCGAGTAAGTTAGCGGCTGAACAACGGAAGGACAGACTTTTAACAGAGTGGTAACAACACGAGTAACGAACCAAACTGCTGCAACCAAAAACCAGAGTCAGCAAATTCGGACAATTCGCACGGAGTCTGGAAAGGCTGCATGTCAACGAAGACGCGACGCTACACTGGTGCCGGCGATCGCCCTCAAATTGTGGAAGAAGTTGGATGTTTCGTGTTACGAGATGGCTCACACTGGGTGTACCAAGACATATGATTTGCTTAGACAGCGAGCTTACTGGCCGAACATGAAGAGGGACGTCGATGCGCACGTGCTCTCGTGTCAGCTTCTGAAAGGAGACAATCAAGAGGCACCACAACCTATGTTGTCAATTCCAGTGTCCGAAATCGGTGAGCTGTGGTCAATCGACGTGATGGGGGCGTTCCCGTTAACCAGACGAGGCATTCAGTACATATTTGTGAGGACGGAGCACTTTACCCAATGGATTGAGACGGCGGTGATTCCTGATCAACGCGCTGGCACGATAACATAGACCATGATAAAACACGTGACAGCGAGTCACGGGATTCCGAAAGCCATACTGACAGACCAGGGCCCATGCTTTGAAAGTGACGAATTTCGGAATGTTTGGAGAAACTAGGCATAAAGAAGATACGGGCCACTCCCTAGCATCCTCAGACAAGCGGATGAACAGAGAGGAATAATTGAACGATTAAAGAATGGTTAGCGGTGAAAGGAAGAGATTGGGAAGAAGTCTTACTACTATGTTGCTAGCGCACCGAGCGTCCAAGCAAGCAAGCACCATAAGATCCCCATTCCAGTTAGTGTACGGCCGCAGATCACGGCTTCCGGTAGATCTGGAGAGGAGTTTGGCCGACTTACCAGGTACTGCTAAGGGAAGCACGGAACGACAGAAAGTTAGCCAACAGAAATCTGAACGCAACTCAGAACCGGAGGATGGAAAGCTCCCGAGTGAACATGATAAAACGGTCCATGGATTTCCCAATCGGTTCGAAGGTGAAATACAGAGACCACCAACGTGTGACGGCATGTGGCTCCGGAGAGAGGAAACTCCTGCCGAAGTGGAAAGGACTTTATGAAGTAATCAGGCGAAGAGGGCCCGTATACACCATCGCCCGGCAAGGGGATAGACAGGGAGTCCACGCTAGTGAATTGCGGAAATGGTATGAACGAGCAGAGGAAAGGACAACATGGATGGAACAGCCTCGAAGATGGGAGAGAATACGTGCGTCGTCTGTCGCGAACACTTTGGAGGGAGGAGTGTGGTGCACTACTTATGAGTAGCATGGATATCAGCGAGGAAGCACAAGGGAAACAGGTAAACCATGAGACGCCGGCAGACGAAGGTATGGTGGAAACTCAACAGGAAGAAGCACACGAGGCAATCTAAACGGATGCTCGGTGAATGAAAGGTTGCAATGGCTCATCGCTCCGGAAAGGTGCCGCGAAATGTCATACGCAAATTGGACTCGCGTCCTTATGTTCGTGTTATGATGTTAACTAGACATGCGTTCTTCAATAAACAACTTGTTCGCCCCTCGTTGCGTTTTCAACAATACCAGTGCGTTTGTCAAAGACATGCGCCTTTCTGATAGTTTCGCTAAATGCCCTGTGCATGTTTTGCTTGCGCCGTTATTGCAGCCAAATGCTCAATAATAGCCACTCCACTCTGCAGTTTGTCACGCGATGCCGAAAAATGTAACTATATTATCCTATTCCCATATAGCATTCCCTTATCTAATTCCATAAAACATGTATGAGATGTGTAGTAGATAACTCATTTCAGAATACAGTGACAACCAGATGTTCGAGTAGAACTTATTGCAATTGGGTATCCTGATTAAGGTATCTATTTCACCTCTACGATATCATATTCTTTGGGCCGTGTCTCGTCGAGGATTTATCTAGTATTAGTAGTACTAGCATCATTGACTCATCCGAAATCCAATCCTTAAGTTATACCCCAGCAAAAATCAAACCTCTCATACTTCCTAGCATTATTTATGCTTGGTCGTCGACCTAAAGTAAACTTTCAGTTATGATGCACGACGGTTTGCTGACGCATTTTCATTCCGTAGTGGTACTGTGTATTTTGGTTGACGCTGTCAGCATGTCCGCAGCGAGAAGGGGAAGATATGATAAAATCTGCCCATTCGGGTGCACTGGGATTACTTGGGTTGGAGGCAGTCTCAAAGAATTAACACGAGGCAGTCGGACCACAAATCGACGACTTACGTCTTTGGCAGGTCGAGCTTTGTCTTCGGCCACTTCGACGAAAGGAGCCGACGCACTATGATCCGCGGTTGCCGAACTGCCATCGCCGGGTTCGATGCCGCTGATGTCTTGGCCCTTATCCTCAGATGGTGTACCGAAATGAGCGACGCGGAAAACACTCAGATATTCATCGGCAACCGATTTTGGATCGTCGGAATCGGCCTCGATCTTGGATCTATCGAGAAGGCGTGAAATGGCCTGGGCGTCGTACACGATGTGTTCTGGATTATCTGTGAAAAAGTGAAAAAGTGACCGTGTCCAGAGTGTAGTGACAAGATGGTGACTTCATCGCATGACTAAACAAGGCAATGAACAACCCGTAGGCAGTGTGTACGAAACAATATTCTCAGAAACTATATGCTAAAAGACGCAACAGCCACGAAGGATACTGTGGCCCTTTAAGATTCGGGTTAAGGTTGGACATATCAGAGCTAAGTCTAAGCTAACGGTGGCTAACCATTAGTAGAGTGCCGGATAGCCCCTTGGTCCATTTGGAACTCATCAGCAGTGGATACTAACGCGGTTTTAGGGTCGTGACTCAGACATTTGACTCGAATTCGAGTTTCTGTTTCTGTCTACATTTAGGCGACCTGGCAGCGCCTCAGCCCAAGCACAACATTTTGAGGGTTGAGTGCAAGCTATGGATCAGTACAAAGTACCCGTGCATTGCTGGTACGTTTTTACCTTCTGGCACTATGTTGGTTGAGCGAAGGAACAAGATAACAATCGTGGTCAACCTCCGCATACCAGTGAGGAGTCCCTGAAAAACACCGTGATGCGTTCTGGTTCTTGACCATGAGATGGGAATATTTGGAGTGTTGAAGCTCAGCCTCAATCGCGATATAATGAAAAACATAATGAACAGATTCAACTAAAAACGGTTAAATAAAATACTTGTCTCCGGAAGTCTAGAGCATAAATGACGGATACCTGTGAGAACGGTGCAAATGGAAAGATCGACTGTGGACGCAAAAGCTCATCTGAGCTGCTAACAGCTGACCCAACTTTTGAGGTGATCTTCATGGGGATCTAAAGTTTGGTGCATCAACCACACAAGAGGATGGCAGCAATCAGTATACAACGCGCATCAAGACTAACTGCATTGTCTACCGAGATACGCTACACATACTGCTATTAAAACACCTGTTTGGTACGTTGGTGATTTTGGCGGGACGCTTAAACTGACCATTGCCTTATCACTATAACATCGTTTTTTGAGTATCCTTGTGTCGTGGTCGTGCTCAATCGACGCCCCTCTGTTTTTGGATCTACCACACGCGATTCTCGGGGTGACCTACCGTGCTTACATTTGTCCAACTCAGATTTACCAGCGCTATCCAGTGGACCTACCGCTGCAGGATTACCTAGCACACACCATCATTGCATCCGTTATTGCAATTTAAACGGGGTTTCCACAGCTATCCAGTCGCGTAACAATCCTTATTTTCGAGCGCATACCATCAATTGTAACCTCATCCGATAGAGTGCTCTCCGCGCTATTAAAAATTTTTTTCACCACAAGAATCGGACACTCCGTTTTATAGCTGCAACACATTTAGCGGCCGTCATCCTAGCACTCGGCAAACTAGAGTGAATTCTACCACGCACATCAAATAGTATTAGTATTCAACACTTGACCAACGTACAATTGGTAGTGCCATAACAACAACCACGACGACGACAACAACAACAAACGAGCAGGCAGTAAAAGGATTTGGAAAGTTTAGAAGGTAAATGTGTTGTGTGGGCAGAGATCTTCCCGGTTTCTCAGGCCGAGGAAGACGCACATCAAAAATGTTCACCAAGCATAAATCCAACCTAATCGATATCTATTCGGCCACATCTTACACCAGAAATTTCGCGCACCGACCTCAGCCGGCTTTGTTTGCAACTGTGGACGCACTCGTAGAATACTGTCAATGGATATCGTGTGCCTATCACAACACGTTCGGCGCTCGCAAGCTGCGCACGTGACTCACGCCTCGGCAATGCCTCACAACACGGCAACAAGGAAAGCCATGTGTACACGGTCCACAATGTCGCAGCCAAAAGTACTGTGCTTCCAAATCGTGCTCTGACTATTCGAATTGGAGTGCAATGTAGTAACTGCAGTAATAACTACCATCCCAGGTGTGTAAATTTGAGTGTAGCGAAAGGGAAATAACGACAGTGCATACTAGATTCCCTTTGGTTCTGTGCAGAGTGCATGAGTAACCCACTCGTAAGGTGCATAGTCGTAATGGCGCAGAAATGTGACAAACTGTCAGCTATTGTGCAGCGTGCGACGACTGGTCTAGCGGTCACATCGGAACCAGCTGCATCGGAACTCGATTCCCGTTGCCAAAATATATGTTCAAACGTGGAACAGAATATCCAAAACCAGTGTATAGTTAACAACGTAGAGCCAGCAGCCCCAACCACGAGAACTACCAGCCATGGTCTGTCAACACCAGCAACCCCAATTTTGCAGGCGGTGCTTTCTCCAGGGGATGTGTCGGTCTTACATGACACTATTGCAATCGGGTTTACCTAACACTGCCGAAAGTCTGACAACTTACGCATCCGGCGTCGTTGCAAGCAAAACGGGGCAAGGTTAGCTAGTATATCTGCAACTACTCCAATGAGTGCTAGAGATGACACGAATAGTAATGCACCTCCGAGAAGACCGCCCACCACGCCGTTAGTAAAAGGAAATATTATCTTTTACAAAATTACGAACTCTAATAAGACGCAGCATTAGATGAAGATAATATGCTCCAACATGCCTGAGTCAAAGGCAAAATCCATTAACGACAAAATGCTGGACGATTTGAAACAAGGGGAAACCATATGCCAAGCTATGGGGATCCAGACCAAACAGGCTAGCTTGTGTCGTATCGTCCGCCAGCCAAATTCACTTCACTATGGCGAGCCAAGGCTACTTCAGTTGACATTTCAGTCGGGTGACGAAGCGTAGACCGCTCACTTGTCAGCTCAGCGTCTTCGTGATACGTCATGCGGCGTTCGTGTATTTCTTGACATTCCTTGGAGTGAGCATCGACAAAGGAAGCAAAACCCAGGAGAATACCGTAAGCAATCTGACGAAGGATCGATTTTTGTCCATGGGGTCTCCGAAATCCAGTCATCCGACGAGTCGTAGGCCCACGCTCGTGAGTTGGAAAAAATGGCGGTAAATTCGTGACTGCCAACACAACGTTAAGTTGCCCATATCACCCAACCATAAAGGAAGTGGTCCAAAAGTGCTGAAAATCATGCGCTACTGCAAACAAATGGTTGAAAGAGTGCTGCGAAGTTGGCACAACTTACGTACCAAGCTGCCATCAGAGATACTTCTGAAGGCGGTCGAAGCCAGGCCATTATTGGGTGAGGGAACACAAAACCAAGTAAGAATTCGTCGTGATCTCCGCTGTCCGCATTTTCGAACAGGAACAAAGTGAAACTCCATAGCCGTCCGAAAAGGTTGGAACCGACAATCCGCAGCAAATCGTTTTTAAAGAATCACGTAGTGATTGCTCTATGCAACAGACCGAAACGGTTCCGGGGTGTTGGCAAGAAAGATATCCAAAAACGACTGTCAGCCGGCCCCATAAGGGTCGTGGTAAATTCCCGGGAAATCTGTGTGTTCAAATAAGCTTCTGACATCCGTTGCGCTTAGTTGTTCGTATACAAAGACCCAAGGGCTTCTCAGTAAATTGGCAGAACTTCGCTGTCGTCAAAACTCAATGTGTTGTGACCTCATCATGTTACCCGAGACATGTCTGAACGATGTGATTACCTCAGCGGAGATCGCACTACCTGGTATGTCGCTTCTGTGCAATCACCGAGCCACAAAGGGAGGCGATGTAATTCTCTGCTACCGTTCCGGCCTTCTCATTGCGCACGTAAACGACCCTGTGATTCAAACTGTGCACGCCCTATGGTGCTGCCTACACTTAAGGCAGGGCGATAGGTGTTTAGTGGCCATTTTATACTGCCCACCAATGTCCACACTAGAATTGAACTAAGCCCTATCTTCCGCCATGAAGAATCTACTGGAATGATCTTACAGCCACGTTCTCCTGTTAGGGGACTTCAGTCTGCACTGCCTAGAAACCCCAGCCATGCTAGTTGGGCAATTCAAAGCGGAACTGCAAGACCTAATCGCTAGTTCACCGCTGTACAACCACGTCAAGTCTACTCCGCGTTTCAGGACAGGAAACAAAAAGGCCATCTTGGACCTCCTTTTTACTAACGAGGAACTGCTGATCGACATGGTAACGCCTTGCACTCCTTTGGGAAGCAATGATCATTCAACACTAGTGTTCCAATAGTTCTGCTATGCAGAGTATCCTAACGAAGATAATGAGGTATCTTACATCATAACCAACTAGGATAACTTGTCTGAACTCCTTGGTGCAACAAGCGGCTCTTTCCTAACTGAATGGTCCCCTGAAGTGGCCTGCGGGAAATTTGCCAACAGATGCAACAGGCCCATGGCAAGCGCATCCGAAACCAAAATCCACCGACCCAAAACGATGAAGTCGATCCTAATGAACAGGACTCGGAAATGCATGGCATTGAGGGACTTGGCATGGCATGCCCACAGCCTCTCCGAGCGAGGATACTTGGGGCATTTATACAGCACATAGGAAACACTGTGTTAAGCTCGCCCGGGAGGATAAAGTAAATAACCAACAAGACCGTGGTAAAAGTTTGCTCTAACCCAAAGCTGCATATACAGACACATAAAGAAACTTCGTCGCGTTAAACGCGGAACTCCGGCTCTGCACACAGCATGCGGGTTGGCACAAACGGAGACCAACGTTCTTGGACAACAAATTGGCCGTATCTTCCAAAGTATGCAACCATCCTACATTATGCTTACGCAGCTAGTGGCACCATCAGCCCTTAACCACATATCCTTCACAACCGCAGCTGTATTGAAGCGGCTGATGTCCTTGCGCGAATACAGCTTCTCAGGTGCGGAGGGTATTGGCCCAAAGGCGTTGAAATTTGCCGCCATGAGCTTAGCTGAACCGTTAGCAACACTCTTTCAGCTATGTCATAATGAGACGCACGCTTTCGAGATGTGGAAGCATGGGATCATCCCTCCAATCTACAAAAGTAGCAGCCGTGAAGAACCACCGAATTATCGCCCGGTAACACTTCTTCCGGTGATTTCCAAGATCATGGAGTCCCGAAAGATAAACAAAACATGAAGCTTTAAGCGAACAATCGTTTTCGATTAATT